TGCTTGAAATAACAGCCCGTTGATACATGAGCGTAGTTTAAAGTTGCGCATATCCGTCGTAAGAAGGCTTCGGGAAAGCTTCTTGACGATCAATCAACTTCATTTGACCTTTCGAAGATTAGCATGTCTTTGTTACCGAATTGGGCGTGTATATATGATTATAGTATGGGTGAACCGTGTTCTTCATGAGCAGATAAAAAGATAGGAAAGATAAAGATAAAAGATAGGATAAGATATAAAAAGATTTAAAACGTGATTTTGAAGTGAATGTTTGGAGGGCCAAACTATCGTCGATAAAGACCATCATCAAGGTAATTCTATGATTTCAGCGATAAACTTTATTTGCAACCGTAATCACACGTTAAGCCTGTAAAGCTCCACGAACTAAAATTGTACCCCACAAGGCATTAGTCACACTTTTACCCAGCATAGATCGAGTAAAATTCAGTAATATAGCCTCAGAGTGGTGGGTGAAGTAGTGGTGCCATTCATTACGAGCACAATCTTGGCTCAGCTCCACCCTAGATTCACTAAGCCTCACATCCCTCTGGAGTCAGAAAACTGGCACGAGACTTGTCTGTGTCCTGCAATCCAAGTAAGAATGCTTTAGCACCACAATCTCAGGATACCAGGGAAAATCGACACGACAAACATTTAGCGACGTTCATAAAGAAGGCGATAATGTTCAAATAGTAACCGAACCCATCAAAATGCATGCATATTTCTACAACCTATTTCCTTTCGATTGTGATATGATGCTTTTTAAAACACTTTTCAGTTTTCATGCAGACCTGCGCCAACCTGGTTCCAACATATCCTGATGTAAAAGTGAAGTTCCAAACGATGGTTTTCATTACACTGCACCTGCAAAACTTCCCACGTACTTTTTGTTCGGCAAGTTCACATTGAAACTCTAGTTACTAACTAATTTCCACCTTATGGGGACAACTGGGTACCTGTTTAGAACCGAGATAGGGAAAAAGCAAATATCAGATTTATATGGACTCACCTAGTCGCTTCCTCCTGCTGGCACAGTGGAGTATTCGTCTTATCATTATGTGCTTCATCGTATTTCATAGAACACGGTGTAGACGATACTCTATCGCCACTCTTGATATCGGGGAAATACAGGCAATGTTGTATTGTGAATGCAAGGTCGAGGAAGAATGAAGAGGATTCGTATGAAAAAACTGACTTCTTGCGGCTAATACACTTAAACAATTATTGAATAACGACTTCCCATTTGTTCAACAAAACGTGAACAAACACGGTGATGCTGAGATATGAGCAAAACTCGGCGTCTCAGGCTAGCTTCGAAGTCGCGATTACACTTTCCGGCAGCTCACCTGCTACCCACTGCACCACCGACGCCTTCGATTTGGCATTTTCCCAGTTAGTTTTTTGCCCTAACGGTTGCTATCAGCAATCACCCGTCAATAGGTATTACTTCACATAATACCCTACCAAGTTTGTAGACGACAGACAGTAAGCAGATTGGGTGAAAGTTGCCGATATAATACCACCCACGGATCTCCCTCAAATGAGAGATTCGCGGACCAAAAGCGGCTTTTGCTTCGCTGAGACACAGATGGATCCAGGGGATGAACTCCTTGTTTCTGCTGCGCCGATTTGGTACATAATTTCTGTATTTGCCAGGCGTATTCGTGCATGCGTGTGTGGGTGCGTTCTTGCTTATGCGGATTGTATTCTACGAGTCAATTCGGCTAAAAGCCTGCAATTAAGTAACTGGGAAGTATATGGCAGGCGGTTAGGAGTCGCCTCCAACAAATAAGCTCCATGTCGACTCTGGGAAAGCCTGGCAAGCTACCTGTGAGTATACCTAGCTCCCACGTTCAGAGTCAAAGCAAGCTATACGTGTATATCAAAAATGCTAAAGAGAGTAAAAATACGGACCATATTCCCCTGACCCCGAAAGAGCTCCCAATTTCGCAGCGTTGAAGAGGACGAGTACGGAGAGGCTGCTAAAATCTCAAGGCCAATTGAAGCTGCCTGGATTTTAGAAAACTATGGTAACGATCTGTACCTACAATGCAGGTACACTTGCATTCGAGTCCTCGATAGAAGACTTGCCCATGCAAGCAGGAAGCATAATATACGACGTCATCGGCCTGGCCGAGATGAGAAAACGCCAGCCTTTCAATGCCGTCTATGACACCGGAGAAGAACTGTTCCTCGGAACATGCGACAGTAGAGGAGTCGGCGGCGTCGACGTTCTCGACAGCTCAAGTATGTCCATGAACATCGATTCATTCGAACAATTTCCAACCCGAATCGGACGTTTACCATTAAAAAGACGTAAATCAATTCTGGCTTTGACAATCTTCGTCGTTTATGGGCCGACATCAAACTATGATGAAGAAGTCGAAGCGTTCTATATAGACTTGGAGAGGTTCTACAGAGAAGACCAGACATTCTTGAAGGTCATCATTGGAGATTTCAACGCCAAGATTGGACTAAGAGGAACGTCTGAAAAACGTCACATTGGGACCCACGGATTAGAATGGAACGAGCAGGGTGAGTGCCTATCTGAGTTTATCGTGGCGCCCAAGACAATCCATGCTAACTCACAATTTCAGAAGCCCCACCCTCATCGCTGGACGTGGGAGTCTTCCAGTAGAGAGCACCACAACGAAATAGACCACATCACAGTAAACAGAAGCTTTTGCACAACCGACTTCGCTGTTGTCTCAAAATTCTACACCGGACCAGATCATCGTCTCCTTCGTGCAAGATCCCACTGAAAGGAGAAAAAGCCGCTAAATTCTGAAACCGAAGTCCCAGAACCATGGTAAACTGGAATTTATTCAATTCATTAGTAGGCTGTTGGAAAGACGCTGTTGTCGATAACATCGGCGATGAATACGATCGGCTCATTTAACATCTTCACGTTAGCGCTATGAAAGCTCAGAGTTCGAAAGTCACCAAGAGACGTCTGTTTCCAGAAACACTCGAGCTGATACGCCAGCGCGGAATCGCACGAGCTGCAAGCAACTGCAAACTAACGTCCGAACTTGTAAAACAATGCAGACAACCGATAAAAGAAGATCTTAGAGAGAGAAGAGCAGCAGTAATAGCCGAAGCTGCAGCATTCGCAAAGCCCACCGAAGCTTCGCCAATTACAAGACCAAGATGATTGCAGTCCGACGCCCAGGCGGAACAGTAACAATGTCCAGAAAGGCAATGAAGAAATTCATTTACGAATACTACTCAGATCTCTTAGATAGCCACGTTAACCTCCCGTTATATGAAGTAAAGAAGGATGGATATGTTGTAGCACCGATTTTCGCTTCCGAAATCCGAGATGCCATTTCATCGGTGAAAAATCGAACAGCACCAGGTCCGGGCAGGATAAGACCAGAATACGTGAAGAATCTTCCGCCAGTCCTCGTAAACACACTGGCTCGGCTCTTCACACGTTACCTCTCTGAATGCAAAGTCTCTACTCAGTGGAAGACCAGCAAGACCGTGTTATTGTTCAAGGGTGACCTGCATGATATCGGCACCTATCGCCCAATCTGCTTACTGTCTGTCGTCTACAAACTTTTCACTCGAGTCACTCCTGAACAAAATTGACAGAACACTGGACGAATGGTAGCCATGTGAGCAAGCAGGGTTTTGAAGAGGATTTAGTACGATGGACCACATCCATACGGTAACACGGCTCATTGAAGTACCGCAAGAGTACAAAAGACCGCTTTGTCTCACTTTCATCGATTTATAGAAGGCCTTTGATTCAGTTGCGATAGAAGCAGTCTTGGAAGCCCTTGATAGTCAAGGAGTCCCTACTCAGCACATAAAGATTCTTCGTGACCTGTACAAAAGTTTCATAACCAAGACATCACCACTCTGCAACGATATTAACATTGACGTCAAAAGATGGGTTAGGCAAGGTGATACCACCTTGCCAAAATTATTTACCGCCACCCTCCAAAACGTAATGCGAACATTGGAATGGGTTAGTAAGGGAGTGAAAATCGACGATCGGCAGTTACACTTTCTTCTCTTTGCTGATGACATCGTCCTTATAACACCAAACATTAGCCAGGCGGAACGTATGCTCGACGACTTTGATAAAGCTTGTGGAAAGATTGGTCTTCGACTAAATCTTATAAAAACGATGTTCATGAAGAACGGATTGGTTTCGAATGCCACATTCACGCTCAACGGAACGAATATCTCCGAATGCTCCAGTTATATCTATCTAGGTCGGGAAGTCAATATGATGAACGACCTAGCTCCAGAGCTGATCAGAACGAAACGAGCGGCATGGGGAGCTTTCAAGAGCATCGAGGATGTAGTGAAGAAAACAAAGAACACTCGACTCCATGCCCACCTTTTCGACTCAACAGTACTTCCTACCCTAACGTATGCGTTGGAAACCTGGGCGCTGCGTAATCAGGATGAAAGGTCACTCAGCGTTATCGAACGCGCAGTCGAAAGGACGATGCTAGGAGTATCCCGCTCCACTCAAGTATGGAATAGGATCCGAAACTCTGAGCTGCCTTGACGGTCAAAAACCAAAGAGAGAAAACCAAGTAATACACGCCAACCAGTCGAAGATAAGGTGTGCCGAAAATATAATGCTTATGATCGGCAACCGATGGACAAGAGCTGTTAGTGACTGGATTCCTCGGGATATCAAGCGTACTGCAGGAGGGCCACCAACTCGATGGTCAGAGTTTTCCACGGAAAGCCTAGAAAAAAGAAGTAATGTCCGATGTGCTATTTTATTTCTTTATTTACGCACAAGCTGACGTTTCGGCGGATTTCGCCTTCCTCAGAGCCTGGAAGGGTCAAGTCGACAGCAGTCCACTCGTCTAAACACCTCCATAACCAAACAGAGAAAACGCTAAACCAAGATTTCAATCACATTTAGCATAGCTCTGCACATTCACCTATTTTTATGAGTCTTCCACTGAGTATGTCGCGTGAAGACCGACCGCACAGAATCCACATGGAAGCGTAATGTGCTCCTCCCATCAGAATAACAGGTTTATATACTGTCCAATATCACGCATGATAATGAGGCATTTCTCCCTGCTGTTCATTTTCGGATTCTTGGAATTTATCCACAATGCCTCCAGAGTTTTGCGCGCTTGTGTTCTCGATTCTTGCGCGAAGATCGTAATCCCTACTTCAAAATCTTCTCCGTTATGTCTCTGCGCCCTATGCGTGCCTAGTGGAGTATTTGGTTTACGTTTGCCGACTAGGTGTTCTTTTGTACGTACGCAGAGTGGTCTACCCGTTTCGCCAACGTATTCGTCCCCGCACGCTTTACAAGAGATCAGATAGACTGTACCCGAACTCATGCAGTCACCGTCTCTACCATTGGGGCAAATTATGCAATTTTGGGTTGCACATAGACGGTCGTATAGGCGGTTACGAACTAGCTGGCGCCTTATATTACTCGGTGGTATTTCGATTATCGTTACCGAATTCTCTAGACTGGCCCTTCTTAAACAGCGTTTTATAGCTGCACTTACTTCATTTGAAATGAAGGGCAGTATAAACGGGACCTTGTTGTCGCTAGAGTTATCGTTGGTGTGCCTGTGGTTTCCTCTACACCTGTCTGGAGCTACGGTTTCGTAGCCATTAAAAATGGCTATTTGCCGTGCCAAGTTCCGGGACTCCTCTCTCTGTTGTCTCCCTGTGCACACGCTGGTAGCCGTTCGATACATGTTTCTCACAAGCGCCCTTTTCGTGCGAGAGGGATGAGAGGAGAGGTAATGAACTAGGATGTTTTTACTACTTGGCTTTCGATAACACTTCGTAATGTAGCCGTTTTCTGATAGGCTAATTTGCACGTTCAGAAATGGAAGCCAGTCTTCTTTTGGTTTCTCTCGGGTGAATTTAATATACTCCGACTGTGTGTTCAACAACTCGAAACATCTGTCGATTTCTTCTTGCGTTGAACAAATGACCAAGCAGTCATCTATATATCTACAGTAGAGTAACGGACCGAGGTCGATTACTGGCGCTTCCACCTTAGACATGAATGCAATGGCAAGGCTTGCTGCCAGTCGTTGTCCCAATGCCAGCCCTCTCATTTGTGCGTAATACCTCCCGGACCATCTGAAGATTGAGCAGTTCAGGCACTCCTTTAACAGTGTCATCAACTGCTGAATCGAGAAGCCGTACATGTTTACTGCTCCTTCGTGTTGTATAAGGAGTTCGTTTATGGCTTGCAAAGCGGAGTCATTCGACGACACGTTTGTATAAAGGGCAGTGACGTCGAAGGACTCCACCACGTACGCGCCGTTGGGTCGCGCGTTATGTAGGCGATCCAGGAACATTTGGGTGATCGTTAGATGAGCTGGAATGTACTTCAACAACTAAGTATTAGGGTTATTATCCACGTTATTCTATCTGTTCGCCCGTCCACGCAGCTAATGATAGGTCCAACCTTAAATAACGATGGATCGGTGGACACGAGATCATCGCTGGATACTAACTTATGGGTTTTGATAAGTAAGTACAGGACGAGACATGTTGGTAAGTCGATTTTGAGATGAGAAATAACTGATGGTTTTAACCCGGCCGCTCTTTCCACTTTAACCCATTGGTTGTTTAACTTTCGGTATTGACTTTTAAATTCCTTCTCAAACGACTGACGATAAAGGGAAGCATCTTCAAGGTACTTTTCCGTTATTTCAACATCTAACTGATGGGGAATTACAACGAACTCTCCACCCTTATCACTAGCCGATAGTCTTGTTTTTTGATCTTATCAGCTCTCGTGCCTCCCGCATACCACGTTTTTGTATTTCAGTGAGGTTGGAGCAGTATCTTTTAGCGCGATAGTGATTAAGGACTTTAAAAGTTTTATTCGTAAACATCCGAAATTTAACATCAACTTCATTAATGGGGCTCTTGTTGTCTAAAGAACGGTTGAGGAAATGGTGGTACTGGTATTGCCCCTACTCTTTGTTGTTCGCGCCTATTTTGCGCTTCATCCCTAGCTTTTTTGCGGAGTCTATCTTGAAGTTCATGTAAACTACATGCGACCTTACGCAAGGTTACCTTAGAAATAGGTTCAGATGGTGAGAAACTCGGTCCCAATTCTAATAACGAGCGCGCACCGTCAGAGAGGGTTATGCCTCCTAGCACGCTCAACCTTGAATTTCTTTGCACATTATTTATCTTACTGTGAATCGTTTGATCTTCGTTGGCGGTGTTTCTGTATGCTCTTGAAGCCGTGTTATGGGATTTACTCAAAAGGTCTTCGAATTTTCTCCGTAAAGCTACTTTAACATTAGACCTAATAGAGTTGCAAATCAACAGTGACCTGCCCATTATTCTCCTCCAGAGGCGGTCCTCCAAATATTGAGCGCAATAGTTTTCTTTCTTCTCGCACTTCTTCCACTTAGCGAACATCTGGTTTTGTTTGCTTCGTAGACAAGTGCGCAGTACTTGCAATTTGATGTCCAGTACTCGGTGGTCATCCTCTGGTAGTCCGCATACTTCGTGTAGTCGTTTTCTCTTTATGAATTTTGGAACGACTTGGTGTTTTATGCAGCGGCCGGAGAAAGTGTATTGACTGTCGAGCTAAGACGATCTTTTGTCTTAGTGACCTCTACTGTTTTGAAAGAAGCCAGTACATCGCGCTTATTCCAAGAATCCGAAAATGAACCGCAGGGAGGAATGCCTCGTTATCACGCGTGATATTGGACAGTATATAAACCTGTTATTCTGATGGGAGGAGCACATTACGTTTTCACGTGGATTCTGTGCGGTCGGTCTTCACGCGACATACTCAGTGGAAGACTCATAAAAATCGGTGAATGTGCAGAGCTATGCTAAATGTGATTGAAATCTTGGTTTAGCGTTTTCTCTGTTTGGTTATGGAGGTGTTTAGACGAGTGGATTGCTGTCAACTTGACCCTTCCAGGCTCTGAGGAAGGCGAAATCCGCCGAAACGTCAGTTTGTGCGTAAATAAAGAAATAAAGTAGCACCTCGTGCTTGCTGAACAGAAATAGAAAGACATATTCAATCACTGCCGAGGTTAATAGAAAGTCGGACTTGGGAATGTCCGATGAGTTCCCCGGACGAGCAAAACCACCTCTTGCTTGTGACAGGAAGAAATGGAAGATTTACTGGCGCCCGCTCGGCTCACTCGGCGATCGACGGACTACAGGTGATAGAGGTGAATACCCTACCACAAGCAAATAATGGCGTTAAATAATAAGCTAAACATTTGGATTTCAATGTTAACCTTTTATTCGCTGCCTAATCTTTTTTCATGGTGTGGTGTGAAATGCAACCACAATGATGAGGGGATATTTGCAAAATTATGGGCCACAGGTGCCAGCTGTGGAGATCGAACCCGTTATTATCACTTTCAAGGCTAATATTGAGAGAACTGGTTAAGGATATCTGAGATTTCATCAGGTCCGGATCAGATTCCAATTGCAGCTTCAACTCAACTGCGCTCAGTGCCGATTTGTGTTCCTTAGATCATTCCCACTGACGGCTGCTTGCCAATAGCACCGGTGGGGTAAAAACTGGATAAGAGAAGGACAACCAGGGCGTCGGTGTTCCAGTGGATAACACGTGAGCACCCAGAAATGGTAATGGTGGCTGCGAAGCTCACCCAGGATTCTGAATTCTGCTCATTTCTCCGCATCATTGTGATTGCATTTCACGAGTCCTGCCGTGAAAAAACAGTAGGTAGTACGTAAAAGTTAAACAAAGGCATCAACGTTTCCTATTGTTTCTCGAGTTTTTTCTATTAAAACTAATGAACAAAAACAAGGAAAAGAGGTCCACTATGAGGAGCACACTTTAAGAGTCGGAACAGCGAGGTCATTTTCAAAGAGTTTACCTCGTGAGTTTACTTCCCAAACTGTTTTGAGCACACTACATGGCCGAATTCTGTTTTTCCCCCAGTTAGTTTTTGCAGTTCTTTAGTTTATTCCGCCCTGGCTACCGTATTTCGTTGCTGGTCCTGTTTAATGCGTGGCAAGTGTTTAAATAAACTTCCTGTGTACAGATTTGATTTCTACAACGGTTTTCTGGGGATGCTGATGAATGGCAATGTGCAGAGCATCTAATCCTAATTTCGAGTTCGTCAAAATGATCTGTGCAGTACAAACACAATTTTCAAAAGCCTAAAAAATTTTTGGATATAAGTGGTGAATTTTAGCTACCGCATTTATTTCATGCATAAGTAAAGGGTGTTGGAAGGTTTTGGATGTTTGATGCGTAGAACTTGCGAGGTTCCCCGAATATTTTCTCTGCTAAGTGATTCTCGGGAATCTAAAAAAGGCAGTATGCGGTGCATCTAGTTCGCCATAGTCTTTCCACTTGAGTCCCGACATTGACATTTAGGATAAATCCAAGTTATCTTCATGCCGATATCAATACAGAACTGCTTCTCTGGATGGATTGCGTCTTTTGATTCAGATCTGTGGTTTGGTTTTTCGGCTTCATTGAACTTGACAACTTCATGAAACCCATTTTAAAATGTCGGAAGCCACTGAAAGTAAAAAATGGTGCAATTCAGAAGGAGCGAAGTCATGACTATACATATTTATTCAAGAACGTAAAAAAAATACGATACCAGTTCAGAAACGATGCCGTGCTGGATTTGAAATATCACATTAAACTTCGGCCATAATATTAAAAATATGCGAAAATTTAGCACTTATTAACATAAGAAAATTTGGAGGGTTTTTATCTTTATGGATTGATCTGCTCCATGACCATCATTGTGTTCCGGCATAATCTATCCACCTCTTCCAATCGGTTAGTAAGACTTAAGCCTGAAAACGTCCACCCCTACTTTCCTTTTCTGGCACGGAATTAAATATTTAGAAAAGCTTAGGAGAACCTGTGATAGCGCTTTATATTAACCGAAGAGAACACCTTTGGGAAAGACAGAGTCGCGTCAGCGATTTCAATTAGAAATGTCCTACTAAGAGGTGTATAAATGGGTGCAACGACTGAGGTAGTGGAGTTAGTGTGGAAAACAGACAAATCAACTCTGTAGACTTGTCGAATGTATTTCTTCAATGCTAGAAAGCCAGTATAATTACCATCAGCACAAATGAATGTGTAGAGTGGAGTAGCTCAATTGTTTTCCTATGTGTTCTTCAAGTCTGGTCTTCCCAATTCCGATGTAATGCCTGGTCTCAAACAAAACCTTTATATACAGCAGCATTAATACAACAATATCGAGATGGCGATATTACGTAATGTAGGTATTGAAAGCACAAGCAATAACGTAGAAAGTAAGCAAAGAGAATATAATGAGCAAAGAGAAACAAAGAAACAATACCAATTGTAAAGTATCTTCTGCAACCTAATTATTAAGGGATACGAGGAAAAGGAGCGATGTTATGCATTAATATCCATGAAGAGGGGTCGCGAAATCCAGAATCAATGGTCGGGCGAAAACGTAATAGGATATTGATGTGAATCCACAAACCAGCGGCGGACCTAATACAAGGTTTGCGAAGGAGCGGAATATGCGCCACTTCCGGTATGCATTCCTAAGGACTACAACGTTTATACAAAATGGAATAATCAAAAACAAGAGGTCACAGAGTTTTGTACAGATAAACGTAGTATTCTCAGCCGAGGCAGCGATGGCAGATTGTAAGTATATTACAAGACCGATACATATCAGTCGGGCGAGAAGGACATACCGCTGTACGTAAATTTCGTAATAGAGCGGATTACATGAGCTTTAAATTATATTCAGATGGTATTCTGATGTTATTAAATTACCACGTAGTTATCAAAATTTTAAGGCTCTGTCGTCTTCTTCTTCTGTAAAGCCGAAGTGATTGATTCTCTACAGCCGATCGCCATCGCAATGGAGGTCCTCGCTGTTGCACCGAGTCGAATCCGACAGAGTGAAGAACCACTTGAATGAAGTAACCTTAGTCGACACTCTCTTTCATGGAGCAAAGCAGCTTATGCTTCTCTATCCATCTAGTGTGAAGTGTTGATCTGCTACCGTGGTGGCAACGAATCCTGCAGAAGTCGGTGTTATTCTGGCTGCCATACAACGTAGCAAGATATCTAGAAGCCGACTTACATGTAATCTTGACATAAATAATAGTCGACTTTTTATATTACCAAGTAAACAAGAGGTTGTTATGAATTTCTACTTGGCTAACCACTTAACGTCTTCGTCTTTCTGGCCGAATAAAAATTTATAACAAACCCGTGTTAACAATAGCTTTATAATCTACAAAAATGATGACTACTTATGCAGACGTTAATTCAAAGTCAGCTTTTAAAAATATACAAATAATCGGCCAATTTTATGGACTTCGTTCTTGCTTG